AACGTAAAAGGGTACACTAATATATGAGATAGACGCATTACATGCAAAGCAAGATAGTTCAAGCCGTGATTTGTCATAAGTGCGATGGTTACGGTTTACAGCTCATGAAAACCCCAAATCCACAATCTCAGTAAATTAGAATATTGTGAAAAGGTGCAATATTCTAGTCTCACAGTGCCCCACTCTAATCAGCTAAGTAAGCCATAACACCTGCAAAGGGTTTCTGATCTTTAAATGGTCACTCAGTCTGGTTCAGTAGGAATCACAATCATGGGGAAGACTGCTGACCTGACAGTTGTGCAGAAAACCATAATTGACACCGTCCATAAGGAGGGAAAGCCTCAAAAGGTAATTGCGAAGGAAATTGGATGTTCCCAAAGTGCTGTATCAAAGCACATTAATAGAAAGTTATGTGGAAGAAAAAGGTGCACAAGCAGCAGGGATGACCGAAGCCTGGAGAGGATTGTCAGGAAAAGGCTATTCAAAAGTGTTGGGATCTTTCACAAGGAGTGTACTGAGGCTGGAGTCAGTGCATCAAGAGCCACCACACACAGACGGATCCTGGACATGGGCTTCAGATGTCGTATTCCTCTTGTCGAGCCGCTCCTGAACAACAAACAACGTCAGAAGCATCTTACCTGGGCTAAAGAAAAACAGACCTGGTCTGTCGCTCAGTGGTCCATAGTCGCTTTTCTGATGAGAGCAACTTTTGCATCTCATTTGTAAACCAAGGACCCAGAGTCTAGAGGAAGAATGGGGAGGCACACACTGCAAGATGCTTGAAGTCCAGTGTGAAGTTTCCACAGTCTGTGTTGATTTGGGGAGCCATGTCATCTGCTGGTGTTGGTCCACTGTGCTTCATTAAGTCCAGGGTCAACGCAGCCGTCTACCAGGAGATTTTGGAGCACTTCATGCTTCCTTCCGCAGATGAGCTTTTCCAGCAGGACTTGGCACCTGCTGACAATGCCAAAAGCACCAACGCCTGATTCAATGATTACTGTGCTTGATTGGCCAGCAAACTCGCCTGATCTGAACCCCATAGAGAATCTATGGGGCATTGCCAAGAGAAAAATGAGAGACATGAGACCGAACAATGCAGAAGAGCTGAAGGCCGTTATTGAAGCATCCTGGTCTTCCATAACACCTCAGCAGTGCCACAGGCTGCTAGCTTCCATGCCACGCCGCATTGAGGCAGTAATTGCTGCAAAAGGGGCCCAAACCAAGTACTGAGTCCAAATGCATGTTTATACTTTTCAGATGTCCGACATTGTTGTCCGAGTGTTCTATGTACACTCCTTGTTTTATTGATTGCATGTAATATTCTAATTTACTGAGATTGTGGATTTGGGGTTTTCATGAGCTGTAAACAGTAATCATTGCACTTATGACAAATCACAGCTTGAACTATCTTGCTTTGCATGTAATGCCTCTATCCAGTGGCGTACATACTGAGGTCGCACCTGTGACCTGCCCCGCCCACCAGGTGGCCCGGCCGCCCTGCGACCCGGTATGCACGCCAGTGTGGCCAGCCTCTTCTCCTGGGGGGCCCAGGAGTTGGCCACCTCAGGGCCCCCCGAGGCTGGCCCTGGTGTCACCGGGCGGGCGGGCTGGCTGGCGGACGCGCGAGGGAGCATTCTCCACTGAGCGCTCTCTGCCCAGCTCCCTTGCGCGCAGCGTACTGATGCCGGAGCCGGAATATGACGTCATCTTCCGGCTTCGGCATCAGTACGCAGCGCGCGAGGGAGCTGAACAGGGAGTACTCAAGGGAGAGAGCTCCCTCACCCGCCAGCCAACCCGCATGCCCGGTGACCGGCCGCTAAGCAACACCACTGGACCCCAGGGCATCCCCTCAGCACTCCTAAAGGTAGGGAGGCTGGGGGATTACATTTAAAAAAAAAAGTGTGTTTTAGAGTGTGTGTGTTAGTATTAGAGTGTGTGTGTTAGTGTTAGAGTATGTGTGTTAGTGTTAGAGTGTGTGTTAGTGTTAGAGTGTGTGTGTGTTAGTGTTAGAGTGTGTGTGTGTTAGTGTTAGAGTGTGTGTGTTAGTGTTAGAGTGTGTGTCTATTAGAGTTTGTGTGTTAGTGTTAGAGTATGTGTGTTAGTGTTAGAGTGTGTGTGTGTTAGTGTTAGAGTGTGTGTGTGTGTTAGTGTAAGAGTTGGTGTGTGTGTGTGTTAGTGTTAGTGTGTGTGTTAGTGTTAATGTGTGTGTGTGTTAGAGTGTTTGTGTGTGTGTGTTAGTTTGTGTGCGTCTGTTAGTGAGTGTGTGTTTTGTAAGTCAGTATTTATGTGTCTGTCTGTCACTGAGTGTGTACGTATGTCTGTCACTGAGTGTGTGTCTGTCAGTAAATGTGTGTGTCTGTTAGCTAGTGTGTATGCATCTGTTCGTGAAAGTGTGTGTGTGTGTCTTCAGCACTTACCTTTCTCCAGCGCCGGACTCCCTTGGCGCTGGGTATCCCTTCGCCACGATCCGCCTCTCAGCTCCGAATGCGCATGCGCGGCAAGGGCCGCGTGCGCTTTCAAACCGCCCATAGGAAAGCATTACTCAATGCATTCCTATGGACGTTCAGCGTCTTCTCACTGTGATTTTTCACAGTGAGAATCGCGGAATGCTCCTCTAGCGGCTGTCAATGAGACAGCCACTTGAGGCTGGATTAACCCTCAGTGAAACATAGCAGTTTCTCTGAAACTGCCATGTTTTCAGCTGCAGGGTTAAAACTAGAGGGACCTGGCACCCAGACCACTTCATTGAGCTGATGTGATCTGGGTGTCTGTAGTGGTCCTTTAAGTGTAATTGTATCTGCATGCACTGGCGTACATACCGCGGTCGCAGGGGCCGCAACCCTGCGACCCCTACGACCAGGTGCCTGCCGCCATGTGTTGTGACCCCGGCCCACGCAGAGTAAGCGCGATGGTGGGGCCCGGGTCAGTTTTCGCACCGAGGCCCCATGGGTTGTGTGTACGCCACTGCCTCTATCTCATATATTAGTTTCCCCTTTTACATTGCGCTACTGAAATAAATGAACTTTTGCACGATATTCTAATTTTTCAAGTATCACCTGTATATAAACCATGAAGGTCTCAAGAAAATAGTCCCTCTTATTCCCTCACACCTCAGGCAGTGGTGTGAGAGTTACTAATAGCGTGTATGGGCACGTGGGCAACTGCTTATTGGTCCTCAACTTCCCCTCATTTGATATTATGAGGATGAGGAAATGCTTTTCTCTTTTTACACAATTTTGTTAAATGTGGGATGAGGGATGAAAAATAATGAGGACTGATAACTATAATTACTAAAATTACCTAAAACTTTTTCGGTGTCTCTTTCTACCCCTCACCTGATCTGCTCTTGGTGATTCATTAATAGGGGTTAACAGTAATTGAGCAGCCTGGATATTAAAATGATTGATTAATAGAGCAAATTATCCCTTTCAGGACTAGTGATGTCCCGAACGGTTTGCTGAACACGGCGAACATATGCGCTGTTCGGTCCGCCCCCTATGTCATCATTGAGTAAACTTTGACCCTGTACCTCACAGTCAGCCGACACATTCCAGCCAATCAGCAGCAGACCCTCCCTCCCAGACCCTGCCACCTCCTGGACAGCATCCATTTTACATTCATTGTGAAGCTGCATTCTTAGTGAGCTGTCTGGGAGGGAGGGTCTGCTGCTGATTGGCTGGAATGTGTCTGCTGACTGTGAGGTACAGGGTCAAAGTTTACTCAATGATGACGAATAGGGGTCGGACCAAACAGCGCATATGTTCGCCATCCATGGCGAACTGTTCGGCGAACCGTTTGGGACATCACTAGTCAGGACACCTGAGGATATTTGTATATAGGGATATTTACTAAAGTGAGAATTGTCTGGAATCCAAAGTGAATTCAAACAGGGTTAATCAGTAGAGTGAGAATGGCCAGGAATTCAAATTGGCTATTGACTATTTTGGCCTTACATTTGAAATTCACTGTCAATTCCCAACAATTCTCACTTCAGTAAATAGCCCTCTTAGAGTCTGTATACTGCTCTACAGCTCTTAGCCACATGAGTGACCATGCGATATGCAATGTTTACTAAAAAGTATCATACTATGGATTTTTCTATGTCTATGTTCTTCATAGGTAAGCCAATTATTGGAAATATACCAATAGAATGAGCCAATTTCATTACTGCTTGAGGAAATGCGATGTGACGGAAAATGCTAAGGTTAGTGAATCAGGAACAACATGGTGACCTACAAGACTATATAGAATTATTGCGTTTATTGTATTAATTGTCTGCCACATCACCATATAATATTGTATTTTTCCTATGTCTTGAAACTATATACTATTTCTGTGCCTCTGTTTTATGCTGTTACTGTAAACAAATAAGATAATCTCAGCTTTTTCACTAACTCTTTCAATATGTTTCTCATCAGGGTGCCATTATTCAATCATAAAGCTGTAGTCTTCATGCATACAATTCATAAAACCTCAGCCCCGATATAGAACTTGTTTTCTATGTCCATGAAACAAATTTCAATAGCACCATATAGGATAAATAAATAAGAAGGCAAAGGGTCTAGACACTCACAAAAGTTCACTGATGTCATTTTTTCATGTGTCATGTTTGTATTTGCATTATTTATCTAGACATAAGCAAAATCAGATGAAATTCTGTTCCTCTCATTCGGACTTACAGCAAGACTGTTTTCCCATTTTTTTAATGGAAAGAAATAGTGTCAGTAATTTTCTTTCCGCTACACACAGTTAAGAAAAGTGGCTTATTACAAAACATAAACTTGTCCTCTAAGGCAGACTGTATACACTCTCTGAATAAATCACTCATTCAGAATTTATACAATTTCTTTCCTACAACTAGTGATGTCCCGAACGGTTCGCCGAACGGTTCGCCACGGATGGCGAACATATGCGCTGTTCGGTCCGCCCCCTATGTCATCATTGAGTAAACTTTGACCCTGTACCTCACAGTCAGCAGACACATTCCAGCCAATCAGCAGCAGACCCTTCCTCCCAGACCCTCCCACCTTCTGGACACCATCCATTTTACATTGTGAAGCTGCATTGTTAGTGAGCTGTCCAGGAGGTGGGAGGGTCTGGGAGGAGGGTCTGCTGCTGATTGGCTGGAATGTGTCTGCTGAGTGTGAGGTACAGGGTCAAAGTTTACTCAATGATGACGAATAGGGGGCGGACCGAACAGCGCATATGTTCGCCATCCATGGCGAACCGTTCGGCGAACCGTTCGGGACATCACTAGTTACAGCATATATTGCTAAGCACAATTTGCATTTAGCCACTCTTTCAATCAATCCAATCATTGTTAAAACAAACAGGATGCTGTTGCAGGCTGTTGTATATAGGCTGAGATCTTTTTCTGTTCCCAGGTGGCCTTACTTTGCAATTTTCTCATTTGAGTCTTACCCATTCTTGTTTTGTCAGTTAATTTATGTTGTTTTTGGTCTGGCCTTTTTGTTCCAGCGCATGCTGCCTCCCTGAGTTTCTCAGTTCACTGCTCCCTGTATGCAGTCAGCTTCCTTCTCATACATTGAGTTATCTGTTCTTGTATTTGATTCTATTGTGTTCCTTGTAAATAACAATACACTTGTTTTGCCTTGATTTGTGTGTATGTTGGTTTCTTTGCATTCTGGCTTCCTACCCATAGAGGTTGCTGCACTTCTCAGCACCTCTTCACAACCAGACCCGTGACACTTGGCCATGGCAGAATATTCCACGTCTATGCATTAAACAAACTCATGGGTTGCTTTCACAGTATGTTTTGGGTCATTGTCATAAAGTGTAGCGCCGTCCAATCAATTTAGCTCAATTTGACTAAATCTGTACAGACAATAAATGTATCCCTATACACTTCAAAATTCATCCGGCTGCTTCTGTCTTCTGTCACATCATCAATAAACACTAGATGCCCATCTCACTTCCTCCACCGTGTTTTAAAAATGTTGTGTTCTGTTTTAGAACATGATCTGTTCCAAGCCTTCTCCATACCTTTTTGTTCCCATCATTATGATACAGGTTGATCTTTGTTTCATCTGTCAAAAGAATGCTGTTCCAAAACTTGGCTGGCTTTTAAAGATTTTGTTTTGACAAAGTCTTATCTGGCCTTTCGATTTTTGAGGCTTATGAATCGTTTGCACCTTGTGGTGAACTCTCTGTATTTGCTTTTGTGAAGTCTTCTGTTTATGGTAGACTTGGATTATGCTAAAGCCCTGGTACTTTTTGTCTATATTTTAACAATTTGCCTGTGTGTATATAACAAGTAAAATATAAATAAAAATGTGCAGCTATAGGACTAAAGTATGTTATCCTTCTTAACACACCAATGACTAAAATAAAACAAACATTGCAACACTTAAGTTAAAATTAATCAAGTGGAGAGAAAAAATCCTTTAATGTAGACTTTATTGTGTGAGGAGATTTATTGGGTGATAAATATTAAAAAATTATATTTTCATAAAAAATATCAAAAATTAATTTAATAATTTTTATTATATAACAAATTGATATAGTGCCACTGTTTCCATGATTAATGATTTAAAGCTGAAAATTTTTACTAGAAGATTTAACTTCACACAGTAATCACAAATTAATTATAAAAATATTATTTATTGTGATAATAAAAATAATAATATGTAAAATGCGTGACAATCAGTGAATATTTAGGTATAACATAAGAATACAATATGGCAGTGGTTTAAAACAATATAGACAGCTACGGTTATAAATGCAAAAGTTGTCAACAAGATTTATGATAGACACTCCTTTGAAATCAACTTGACCACAGAACCAGCAGCACAGCGTAAAGCAATAAAAACTTTGACTGACCGTCAAATCACACTGAATTAACTCTTTCACTGCTAGCTACAATCCTCATAGGCAAGATATCCTATTATATTGCAATTTTACTACAGATCATTTGACCATTCCTAAGTCCATCCAATAAAAATAATTCTAACTAGATTTTACGTTTGCCGAATTTTAACTTTCCTAAATAAGATCTTATATCAGAACAAGTCAATACCTCTGGATAAAAATTTGGTATGCTAACATTTGGAAAATTTACTGTTAATATACTGTTATCTTTATTCCACCTACAGGAATGGTATTTTTATAACCATATATTCCTTACCTAACTATGATTTCTAATTATTGAAATCTGACCAAGATTTATCCAGATATATATTCCTGCTATTAGTAAAACATTAATTAATTTAATTTAATTTAATAAAACCAGCATAATTACCATTTATGTTGTAGATTTTCTATAAGATGTGTAGATATATTCCAGGAATTTTGAATGCAAGTATGATGAGAGGATTGTATGAAAATATATAAAAGTTTTCAGTTCTGAAGTTGTGTGAGTTTGAGTCTGAGTCAGAGTGTTTGAGTGAGAGTCTTGAGTACAGTCCAAGAGTGTAATTGTTGTGTCCCAGTGTGTTTCAGAGAGTGTCCTCTCTTCCCTTTGTCCTTACTTTTTAAAGCAGAAATTATCTGCACGTCATAGTTAACACATATTCCACTAACATTGGTAAATAATATTTTTCTTCATTGATATTATATCCATGAATATTCTATATTATTAACTTAGTACTAATTATATATGATTAATATAATAATAGTAAATTATAAGTGGATATTGTGTGTGTGTGTGTGTGTATATATATATATATATATATATAAAGTATCTCTGGGTTGTAGCATTCAAACCCTCCCTGTTGTAGACATCATGTCTTATCTCTGCCAATGTTTACATTAGTCGCACTCCTTAGCTCAGATGAGAATGAATAGAGTTGCAGAAAGAGAAAAAAATAAACTTTGTGTCTGTCTTAGTCTTGTAATACAAAATGGAGTCACCTCTGTTCCGACGGTGACTGGCAGTATACACTTTTAATTTCTGTCTTAACACAAAATGTCTGCCAGTATAAATATACTGACAATTGGTATTTTGCATACAGGAAGATGTACCTTTAAAAATACAAAACATATAATAATAATGGACCACTTACAAATTAAGGAGAAAATAACCTAACGCTGGTATAAACAGCAATGGGGTCCGTTTAGATGAAGTCTTGATTGCATAACTCTGCTTAGCCAATCCCATATAGTGGCTTAAAAAACAAGTACATAGAGTAGTATTGTACTGTACCCTTATAATAAAAAATAAAGTACATGAGGTACTCACAAAATTTGAGCATGGATAAGGCTCTCTTGACAGCACACTATGTGGTTTGGGACCACACTCACTCTTTGCAAACAAGCTGGAACCAGAAACCAAAGAAAATCAAATTGCATGTATTTAAACATTATATAAAATAATAGAATATAAAATCAATGAAACAATGTCCAATATGTTCTCCAAATCCTTATATGTCCATAGAATGTGTTTCACCACAATTAATATGGCTTCCTCAGATGGGAAAATGAAGTAGGAGTGAATGGTAATCTAGTCCTGTTTATATACCTCTTTAGTAGGGGTATAATGAGTTACACTTTTCAAACATGTGCAAACTCCAACTATGCTGAGAGGCTATTGAGATCCAAACCTAATTTCAAACAAAACTTCAATGACGCAACATCTGCTTCAACTTGGAGCTCCATCACGTCACTTCCTTAGCCACACTCTATAGTACTCCAAGCCTCGTTTCTGCATTACTATTTGTCCTCCGGGAGGCATAACCTCCTAGCAAAGCTTGACATGTCTGCCAACTCTATCTTCCCTTGACTTAAAGCTAAGGAAAGGGAGGCATCTTTGATATGTAATTAAAGGATTGGCCATTAATTAGCACTGCCCTGCCAGACGCTTTTAAAGAGCTATCTTAGATGCCAGCAGAGATGAAGCGGAAGGTTTCTGAGCATTGCCTTCTTTTTTTTCAGCAATTTTGAACTGTATATTGCGAAAAGTCTGGTCTGTGGGATCAGAGGATACGCTGCTCCCTGTGATAGATAACAGAGCAGGATC